GTATATATCGTGTTCCCTCCAGCAGGCCAAAGTTTCTCTTCTCTGATTGCTTGTTTGACTCATACATCAACGTCACCATTCTCATGCAAATAACTACGTCATCATCTATATTCTTACAATACCAACCGTCTACCCCCATAATGGCGGAGCCTCGCGATATACCGCAACCCAGTACCCAGGAGCAAGTTGCTCGCCACGAGGTGGCTTCGAGTGGCGAGTACAGCATCGATCCCATGGCAACTTCCCTGACACCATACGCCTCCAGCACGAGCATCTGCAGTAGCTTCAGGTCTGATTTCTCAATGGCCAGCAGAACCAACAGAGATATCATCATTGTGCAGAACCAGCAAATCAGGGGCAGGCAGGAAACAATCTTGGGCCTCCTTGGCCATCTTGAGATGTTCATGCGCCCCCGCTCGGCGGACCCGCCACGAACATTCCCCAAGTACGTAAAAGAGGACGATGCCACCTGCTTGTCCGCCGAACTAGACTCGGTGTCTGTGTCGGAGATGTTCGCGGCCCAGAACCGATTCTTGATGACGACGCAGGAGGACATCTTGACCGTGCTCAGGACTCTTGCGCGTTACCACCCTGGCCCGCGCGACGACGTGCAAGCCCCGGCCACTCCCAGTGAGACTTTCGCCAACGAAAGCGTTCCCGAGAGCAACGAGAATGATCTCATCTTCCCCTTTGCGCCCTAAACTATTCCTACCTTATTTTTGTCTTAGTAAGTTGTCAGAACTCGGCTCCTCCATGATTGCCGTCGACACTAAAAGGAAATGTTCAACTAGTACGCAAAACTCATGCCTGACGAATACAACATCATGGGATATGCTTGTAAGACTATGCAAACAAGCAAATACACATTATGGATGATTAAGATGGTAATATAACTATAACCCATTGAGATAAAATTCAAGCAGGTATTCCGGTTTTTATAATAATACCAAAGAGCATAAGCTTAAAACAATTAAGAAAATAAAATAATCTGTACAAATGCTCTTAAAAGGATATTTCTCTAAAAGTCTTCATTTGATTTTCTTTTTATTGGGATTTGTATTATGGTAATAACATTAGAGGTTGGTTGGGGAGGTACTTGGGCAGAACCAGAGAAGGTACGAACGACATCCGTTGATCTCCTCATTCTCGTCCTCAGAAGATGAAGAGGAGATTACAACAACCTCGTGTCCGTCATCCTCAGAAGACGAAGAGGAATGACGGCCAACGTCGCGATCGTTGGCATCGGTGTTTTCAGCATCTGCCACGTCGGCAGCCTTCTTGACCTCTCGGTTCCGTTCCAACTGATTCAGGTGACCATGAGTCACTCCCTCCGAAGGACGGTCCGTGGCCAACGTCGGCTTCTTCGTGGCGCTACCGGCGTAGAGATGCATCTGTTAGTATGGTTTCTTGGCTCAACGATTTACTGTAAATAATGTCATGACGGAATGCCTCGACTTCAGCCAAGATGCCTTTTGAATGTCAGCGCGACAGATTGCGGCCAAGGTCGTGAAGCCTCTCCCAGCATTTTGGTACATCCGCGACCATGTGACAACGATCAACGATTGACTAATGGGAGACTCTTAGAATTTGTAATTAGGAGAAGTAGAGATAGCCCCCGCATCCAGCCATAGGCTTGAGTTCTTTTCCCCATCTCTGGTGGCAGCTGTATTGTATAAAAAGGCATAATGGCCCTGGCGAATATAATAGGACGCCTGTGTTCATACTGTCAACGACAAAACGGAACAGTTCCGCCAGAGCTACGATAAGATAAGCCGACCCGCTTTAATTTTCTCAATTCAACCCACCCACCTAACCTTAGACTTGTCCACAGAGAGAGCCTATGATGAGGGACGCAGTATGAACAGAGCAAAGACGCGCATTGTGTGCTCCTTTCCCATCCCGTATTTTCGTTGCTCCTCTCCAGACGCCCGCTCGTAGGCGATTTGAGCTTCCGGTGCCGCCGCGAATCTCCTCCATTTGCCCCAGTCAGTGGACTCTCGCGCAAGTGACTACGAGACCCGAGTGTCGCACAACGACAGCAGACGGCGCAAGAAGAATCAGTACCCGGCAATCAAGATGGCAAAGACCAGAGCCGCCGCCCGGGCCGAAGGCCAGCAGCCGGAGGAGCTCCCATTGAAAGAAACCAAGGTCTCCAACGACAAGGTGACCAAGCCCAAGAGCGAGGTCAAGAAGAGACAGCCCAAGGCCGCAGCGGGCAAGAAGGCAGCAGCAGCAGCAGCAGCAGCAACCAAGGAGCAAGGGGAACCGAGACCCGAGCCCGTGAAGCCGCCAGTCGAGAGGAAGAGGAAATTTGATCTCGCCGCCGTGGCCGCAGAGCTGGAAGAGGAGGCCGCCAAGAAATCTGAAGCAGCAGTCCCCGAACCACAGGTCGTCGACCAGGTCATGGAAGAGGTATGTACAACTTGGAAGCAAATTCTCGACGAGAAGCTTGAAAAATTTGGAGGCTGATCCGGGCGCTATTTTCCTCTAGCAAAACGATGACGCCCCAGAACCTACCTCGGAAGCTCCCTCGGATCAGGCGCCAGAGGAGTCAAAAGGATCCTCTGCCTCGGAAGCAGACGAGATGGCTGTGGACGTCCCCGAAGCTCCCTCCACCGACGAAGTCGAGAAAGCGGCTGAAGAGGTGCCGACTCCTGTCGAGGCTGAATCGGCTCCTTCCGAGCCCTCCAGTCCCGCTACTTCGGTAGCAGTCCCTGAGCCGATAACCAAGGAAGAGAAACTGGCGGAGGAAAATGAGAATCAACACAACCAGAACGATAGAAAGAGCGAGAAAAAGAAGGAGAGAAAAGATAGAAAGAAAGAAAAGAGCGAGAAGAAAAAGGAAAAGAGCAAGAAAGTTAAGAAAGACGCCCAGGAAAAGAACTTAAGTGAGAAGCAAAAAGAGCTAAGCCAGCGGCGATTGGAGAGACGCCAGGAAAAGAGAAAGGCCAAGAAGCTGCAAAATGCTGCAGCAGGAGCCCAGAAAGACGGCGCCAAGGAGGACACCGAGCACAAGGATCTGACAACCGAAGACAGCAATAGCGACCAGCTCAACCGTAAAGCACGGAGGCGCATCGCCCTGATTGACCGGCAGCGCGAGACGTACCGTGAGGAGCTCGGCCTGAGCGCCGAGGAGCCTTCGTCAGCACAGCTCGAGGCCAAGCTGGCCGAGTGGATCGCGACCATGGATACGCAGGCCGCGGCACGCCAGGACAAGAAGCAGAAGCGTAAGGAGGAGGAGCAGGCCAAGCGCCAAAAGAAGATGAAGCTGAAGCACAAGCGCGAGGAGCGCAAGAAGGGCATCACCAACCTGGAAAAGGACAAGAAGAAGAAGGAGAAGCGGGCGAAGAAGGCAGCAGCAGAGCAGCAGCAGGAACCTGCCGAGGCTCAATCCGCCAGCTCGTAATCGATATCAAGCAGTCAAAGACACTACAGTACCGGAATAACTGCTGCATCTTGTCTTTGCAGGCGTTTTGGTGTTATAAAAAAAGGCATATAGAATATTGCGACGGTTTTGATCATTAAAAAGTGGTGTTTGTCTTTGCTCGGATTATGCCGTCGCATATTGCGCACTGAAATCTCCTTGCTTCTCTGCGCAAGTATATAAAGTCATTATATGTACATTTATCTATACAGGAGCCTGGACTGGCTCGGTCTGATCTGTCGCAGTATTTGTCCCGTTGGACGAGGCGCGTGTGATATGCTTGACATTTATACACAATCGTACATCGCTGACATGTTGTTTGTTGGCATGTCAGTGAGAGAAACGATTGAACGAGACCAGTCGTTCAATTCGCTTCACGGAGAGGGTGTGAATCTTTTCATCACATCTTCACTTTGGTGTGATCATGAAGACTTCTTACCCTCGCTATCGCCCTTTTTCTCCTTCTCCTCCTGAGCCTTTCTCTCGCCCCGGCTGAAGACATCCGAGATCTGTTCCGTGATTAATCCCCAGATACCTTCACCACCCTCGGACAGAGCCTCTTGCTCGCGCTTCGCCCTCTTCTCCTTCCAGTCCTTGTCTGCGTCGCCCATCCAAATGGACTCGAGAGTGCCTCTCTTGTCGCCATCAGTGCCCCCAGTTTGTTGCTGCGGTTGTTGACCACCATTAGCGGCAGCTTTTCTTCTCTCCAACTCCTGCACCCGCCTCACGTCCGCCTCGCTCATGCCCGACGCCAAGAGCTCCCGAGCCCGCTCTCGTCTTGCCTTTTCCTCTCGAATCATGCGCTGTACCTCGCCAGCCCGCGCGCTCGGCAGGTCATTGGTCAGACCACCGGTCGAGACCGCTTTGGAAGGGTCGTTTTCGAACCACTTGTGTATCATTGAATGCCCGGTGTAGTCATATTTGAGTTGAGAGACACCCCAAATGGCCGAGGCTCCCAAGAGCAAGGCGCGAAAGTCGAGACGCCTTGGCGGAAGGGCAAGGCCCAGAAAGGCTACCGGCGTGCATATCAAGGCGGCCGTGTGAAGAAGGGGGTTCTTGTAGGGTGATTGCTGCGCCGAGGGCGAGGGCGCGGTCGCGAGCTGTCCGCCTTGTGGTTGCGCCGGGGGCGGCGGCTGCTGCTGCTGTTGTGGCGATTGAGAGCTCGGAGCTGACATGATGTGTGATTTGCTGGATTTGGATGCAGATCAGGCTCGAAGAGATGGATGCAGATTCTTGCAGCTACACTGAGTCTCAGAATGACAGTTTCATGTGAGTCTGAAAAAGCAAAAGGTTATGGAAAACTACAAAGGCGACTGATCGTCATCGTTGAGCTTCCAATCGCAAATTCGCCAATTGGGACTTTTTTCTGCAGGGGTACGTATCTGGAATGTACCTTCCGCACTGCGCGGAACCCCACAACAGACTGGCCCGTGCACATCGCACCATAGCGCTAGCACACACTATAGAACCTCAGTTCGAATACTGTCAAAATCATCACGAAGTTGAAGACAAAGGGGTAATAGGCACAAAAACACCAAAAAAAGATATTCCAGGTGTTCCTGGAGGCTGTATTAAGCGACAACTGCAGGATTTGAACCTACGCGGCCGAAGCCATGAGATGGCCAAATTGCTGTAATAGCGAATTCGAGTCTCACCCATTAACCACTCTGGCAAGTTGCCAGCCGATTTGCTTGACAATTTGTGTTTTACTAGTACCCAAGTAGTGTGTGGTGCCTGGGCGCTGAGACCAGGAGCAAAGCTGGGAATAATGGAACATGCCGGTGTGGAGTCTATTGCTCAGACGCCTCGGAAGTCGGAAGGGTTCGCAAACAGCCAGCAACCAGCAGCGAGTCTTTGCGAGCCAGCGTGGGTATGGTCCATAAAAATGATAGCCTATGCAGGAGACTTTTGGCTCGACTAGAATTGGCTAGCAATTGCTATGAATTAATTAGCGTGTAATGTCCCTGTAGAACAGCATGATTGAGTAACCTTACCGGTACTCGGTCAAGATATGTAGGGAGGGACGGTTGCAATAGTACCGTAAAGATAAACTCTTTTCACTGCAATTTAGCACAGATCTCTCGTCGGCAATTGAAGGGTCGCAGTACGCAGTACTGCGTACTGCTCGCTGCACGCTTACTTTGCTGTGCAAGGAGGGTGGAGAGGTAGGCAGGCACTTAGCCGCCAGACTGGCTCGGTGCGGTGCAGTAAACTCTCCCTGAAAGAGGCCGATCTCCGTGGTGGACTGGAAGATGTCATTCACCTTCTAGTCATCATTGGTGTTGGGATTTGTGCTTGCTGGAGAATTGCTAGATGACGACATGGTCTTCTTTGCATCAGCCTCTCCGCTACTTCATACAAGGGAGGCTGCTGTCAGTGCTGTTTGAGCACTTAATTCCGAGCTTGACCGTAGGTGTGGAGTCGGTGAGTATACACACGCTACTGTACGCGCGAGGGTCCCTCGGCGGCTGAGTAGACCTGGTGATGTATTGTGCATGCTTCGCATAGCCTCAAATTGCGGCTGGTGTTGTCGGTCAAGTCCGTCTGCCGAGGAACATTCGAAAGCTTCTGTTGCAGCTGCTCAGCCTCCTACAAAGTGCAGTGGGCCGAGTATTGCACACGGCTGCTGATTATTCTTCATAACATCTCAACGTGGCTGAAATGTGTTGTCGCTCATCCGCTGTTCATAGTGACTGCCGGATCATACCGTGCCCCACTTCCAAGGCTGAGGACAAATGTCTGCAGAATTCGGTTTCCGAAAGCACGCATGCCGCTCAGGGCGGGATGAACTGTATCTATCAATCTCAAGTAGAGCCTTGGCCTTGCAAGCCAAGTTGGCATTGGAAGGCCTCATAATCGTATCTAGCCTGTCCAGACTGGTCACCGCATCGTAGACCACAGTACTTGTCGCTCAGTTGTTGTCATGGCGGACGGGATACTTTACACCTCTGGTCTATTGGCGACGATGAGGACTGTAATCATTATCGCAATTGTCGAACTCAATTTGCTCAGAAGCTCACCTCGGGCAAGCAATCTGAAGCGCACATTACTATTGAAAAGGACCGATAGACAGGCACGTCTTGTGTGTATTGGGAGATGTCGCCGTCTTCTGGGTAACACAATTCGACTCCCATCGCAAAGAGTGCCCGTTGCCTGTCGCTAGGCTGTTTTCGGAGGCGGGAGTGATCCTTCAGGAAGTTAGCGTGCAGAAAGGACTGTCGTGCATGAGTGATATTACCTTGGTACAGTGCCTCGCTTGGCGATAAACAGACTATTGATGCGTCTGATAGATTGTGCTTTCGAGTGATCTAGCAATATTCCACGTAGTTGGGATCACATTATGTGACTTTCATTTTGGCGAGGTTCCAATTGCTGAACTGTGCAGTCTTGGGTGGAAGGATCTACGAGAGAAATGGCTATACGTAGTGCTTACCTTGCAGGGTCCACGTCTTTCAAATGCTCACCTCTCATAATGAATGAATAGTTGGCAGAGTCTCCTGCAGGAGAGTTAATCGAGGAGCGAAGCGCCACCAGTCGGTATATCTATTCCACCGAGCTTGACTTCCGAATAGGAAGCATCATGCGATTGAAACATCAGGCGTTGCCTTTGCACAGCAAGACTTGTCCGCTACGGAGTAGAGTTGGGCCCTGGCGCCAACTCTTTTTGGTTAACAGGGGGCCGACAATGGACAATCTTCTGCGTCCAGGAATCAACAAATGGCATCCGCAGAGGACATTATGTTTTGTCCCGATATATCCCAAGATAATGGTTCCAGGGATAGCAAGCGATGCATGTCGTTGCGGGAGCAAATCAGAATGATGGAACCAGGATGTTGTAGGGCTGAGGGCTGTGAGAGAGAAGCACCGTTGGGTTCTCCAGTCGGTAGGTGGCAATACCCCATACCCTTCGTCAGAATCTGGGCGCTGATGTGACGTGTTGCTGCTCATGCACTGCTTACGGTCACTAAGTGGTGGGTATGTATTCAGAACGCGATGCAATACTGATTGGATATGTTGCCTGTGCAGTGCTTGAATGGTCTGCCACCGAGGAGGAAATGAGAGCACTGGACAGTGCAGAAAATGGCCCTCATAGGGCTGAATGATGGTGTGGATCATGGGGGACGCATCAGTAGTAGCAACGTCGGGCCGCTTCCGCGTGAACTGGAGGCGATTCGTAAGAAATTGGTGTATAACCCCCTACACTCGCTTCTAGGTTGCCAATAGATATCCAGCGTTTGTTTGACAGATGACTGCTCTGCCAAAGAGACATGTCAGAAGTCGACTTCATGGTGCTATTTGCAACAACGTCAGTGCTATGACACTGTCTAGGGGCGGCGATCGTAGTCGGAATCTAGACAAGGCCGTTTTGTCGCTTCCGAAGCTAAGCCCGAGGATCTACCTGGGCTGTTAGCCGACTTGCTTCCGGCTTTCGAATTCCCAAAGAAACAAAGATACTAAGTATCTCGTACGGAGCTCCCAAATCGAGACAGTGCTTTTGGAAATCGAAAGGGTTGTCTCGGGTCATCGGTCGGTAGCTGCAGGTGGAGAGTATGGCAAGCAAACACTGACTCGGCGGGTGATGTCCGGCTTGGAGAAGCATCCCGTTCAGGGGCGCCAGGAGAGTTATTGTACACATGAGGTGCTCGTTGCTTTCTCAAGCCAGGGAGATGGGAAGATGATGCGATGAATCTGCCCCGCGTTCTGACAAGGATCTGATTCATTCGAGAATTCATGGAATACATCACTGCCCTCCATTGATATGGATGGCGTTGACCAAGTCAATCCACAGAACAGAGCGATGACTGTCAATGATCGCAAGACGCGACTCGCCCTGCTGCTTGCTCAGGGTTTGGGGTTCCTACCTACCTACGTTGCCGGCCACTTACCAGCTCCCTGTTGTGCCTGTAGCCTGTAGCCTGTAGCAGTAGAAACCGAGCACTTGAGGGGAATAGAGGCAGTGGCAACTGTGAGCTAGCACTTCTTAGGAAGTTGCGGCGTGGCAGACGGTTCGATCCGCTAGTTGGATACGTTAACGTGCACTACCTATCATAGTGCTCCGTACTATGTAGTAACTACTTTTGGTCCAGTTGAACTCTAAATTGTGACCCCTAGTATTTACACACAACCCCGAGCACGAAAGAATGGACGTACAGAGTACAGTAGGGGTTCTGCGGAGCACCTACATGTAGGAACGGGTTGAACATCAATCTGCCGCACAGTCGCAACAGAAAGGTACTTTACATCAAGGTAATGCCAATCGAAATATTATTGATTTATTACGAGGGTCGTTGTGTTGTGCTGATAGCATAGGTACGCACACTAGATCAGGTATGTATTGAATAATTGGAAAGTAACATGAAGTGCGTACATGGTAGATATTGAGTAAACAGAATGTCTCTTTTGCAGTGCCACGGTCTACGTGGCCAAGGAGTCAATCAGGCAGTAAATTTGTCAATCGCCCAGCACTGTTCAATAATTCATATTAAATCAATCAGTCACCTCATCCGTTACTCCTGGTGACAAATATTACTGCCGTGACTCGGCGCGTGCAACGATTCGTGAAGCCAAGGAGAAGTTACACGCCAGGTGGCTTCCGTCCGGCAGGTACAAGTTTGGTGGTGTGGACACAATTGTGCTGGCCCTGAGCCTGCCGGTTCACTTTTTCCACTGGCGGCAGCGCCTCCATCCGGCCATTATACTCTTTTCTCTCGCTGGTGTTTCTCTCCCCTCCTCTATTCAACAATTAATGAAAATTTTGGAAGAAAATAAAGGGCACAAGTCTAATAAGGGTAGACCCCTGCTTGCCCTGGCAAGGCATGGGGTATTGTATTTTTTTCAGCTAGCCGCTGTCAAGCCAAGACGCTTAAACGTCACCAAAAGGGTATGGCCGTGAAACTTATCCTTTCCGTCCGCGATGAAATGCTCTTTCCCGAAGGCATGTCTCAGTCGACTTGTTTAATTGGAGTGGCATGTCTCGACAGAAGACTGCGTCCAGTAGGATTCTGTGGGCAGCTTGGTAATACTAGTTATTTCTCCTAATAAAGACCCTTTCGCCGGTCTAGGTAATGAGTGTGCCTGGCTCGGGAATACCATGGTAAATGCATCCATCGTGAGGTATTGGAATATGTGGATTTCGGAACAACTTGATTTATGCTGCCCATATTGTCAATGTAGAGTCAGGCATCTCTTGACTGTCTGCACTGATTGAGTCACCTTCTACACATGGTGTCCGCATGTATCGTACAATTTGTTTCCAAGCCGCAGGAAGAGATGTGGTCAAGCAAAATTGGAATTCAGAAAGTACACCACTCTTGTTCGCGGTCATCTCTGCACCGAGCATGCCACTGCGCACTGTACGACGGCAGGCAAGCCAACAACGATCAGTAAATGATCTCAACAGATGCAGATCGGCATCAACCTGCCAAGGCCCATCTGCGTGTAGGTACAAATGGTAGGCCACCTAGCGGTCGGCAAGATAGACAGACAACAACAGGTACTTGTTGTGCAACATGAGTTGCAGTGAATATCCCATCGGCCTGTTTTATTATTACAGTTGATATACGTAAGATAAGTGTCCGTCTACCAACCAACCGCGGTGCGGAATGCATGCATACATGCTTAAAACTACAACCGCCTGCATCATGTACCTAGGTAGATATGAAAAGACGGCGAGTACTATG